ACAAAAAGTTGTCTCCTCAGATTAGGCATAAACCTGACCAATTTCAGGATCCTCAGGAGACGAAAGGTTCTCAGACTGACAGACCTGAACTGCCGGCCCTTTCGCCCAGGAAAGTTTGACATAATTCGATGACACTAAAAATTAGGATTTTTTTTGTCAGTAGACGATTTTGGAAAATTTTCTTAGAAAGTATAGAATTTTCTTAAAATGAGTGAAAGTAGATAAAATTATCTAAACTTTGTGTACTTAAATTTTTTTCTGTCGTACAAAATTTTATAGAATTTGAATCTGAAGTTCAAGATTCTAGTCGTACCTCAAACCTTATAGAAATGTTTACAAGGATGGTACAATTTTCAAACTTCAGATGATTTTAGAAAATTTTCTTAGAACGTATGAAATTTCTATAAAATTATGAATTATGAAAATCGTGAAAATAGATAAAATTATCTGAACTTTGTTATACTCGGATATATTTAAGTTCATACAAAATTTGATAGAAATTTTGTACTTCAAACCTAACAGAAATCTTTGCAAACTTTGGACGATTTTGGAAAATTTCTTAGAAAGTAATCATTTTTGATAATCCCCATCAAATAAGATAAAATTATCTAAACTCTTATATACTTAAATTTGTTTCCGTTCATACAAAATTTTTATACAATTTCAATTCTAAAATCGTACTTAAACTCAAAGAAAATGCTTACAAAGACATGGTACAATTTTTAAAACTTGAAACCATTTTGGAAAAAATTTTAAAAGCATATTATTTTATAAAATATTGTGAAAATAGAAAAAATATCTATCTATGTTATACTTATTGTTAGATAGATTCTGGTTCATACAAAATTTTATAAAAATTCAACTCTAAACTTAAGATTATAATTGTACTTCAAACTTAGCACACATGTTTGCAAAGACACGGTACAAATTTTCAAACTTTAGACCATTTTGGAAAAAATTCTTAGAAAGCATAAAATTTATATAAAATCGTGAAATTAGATAAAATTATCTAATCTTATGTAAGTTGTTATACTTAGATATATTTTGATTCATACAATTTTTTTTTAGAATTAAAACCAAATTTAAAATTCTAATTGTACTTCAAAATTAACAGAAATCTTTGGGTATCAATTTTCAAACTTTAGTCGATTTGGAAAATTTTGTTAGAAAGCATCATATTTTTATAAAATAATGAATAAGTGTATAGATAAAATTATCTGAATTTTGTAATACTTAGATATATTTAGGTTTATACAAAATTTCATAGAAAGTTAAATTTAAAATTTAGAATGAATGACATGGTCAATTTTACAAATTTTAGACAATTTTCGAAAATTTTCTTAGCGAGTATCAAATTTTAAGGTACAAATATTTAAACTTGGACGATTTAAAAAAAATTTGTTGAAACACTGTAAATTAGATAAAATTATTCAAACTTTCATTTACTTAAATTTTTTTATCTCCATACAAAATTTTGAGAAAAATTTAATAGTTAATACTATTCTATACTCAAAAACTGACAGAAATGTTTTACATATGGTACATATTTTTAAACACGATTTTGAAAATTTTCTGAGAAAGTAAAGAACTAAGATAATGAATTATAAAATAAAATATATTCAGAATAGTTTCCGTTCATACAAAATATTATAAAATTTAATTCCAAACGTTAGGAATTCAAAATTAACATTATTTATTAACTACGGTTACGTCCGAACATTCTCTCTCTATAATATATATATATAATTATATATATAATATAATATATATATATATACAACTAAGTATATAAATTATGTTACATCCGAAACATGGTATTAATTACAATCCATTAAACTTGCTTCTAATGTGATATGGACTAATGTTACCCATATATACAATATATATATATATATATATATATATATATATATACATCGACCCTTCGTTAATCTCAAGAAAGTTTCATCCCTTCGTAGTTCAGGTAACATTTAATCTAAAAAAGATTATTTCTCCCGTTTGATATATTAGTCGACGTTCTTTCACGATTCTGATAGGAATCATATTTATGAATGAGCAGGGAAAAAATTGGGAATTGATCACATATGGTAGAAAAAATACGAAATAAATTAATAAAGATGGTGTGAGATTTGTAAATTTAATTTTTCCTTACCTTAAGACAACTATAACGCCATCAAAGACATTGAACCCGTCAGCAACGTATCCGAAGGGTCCTTCAGCAATTATTTTCAGGGTCATTTCGACTGCAAAAATCGCCGAAAAAACCACATTGGAATATTCAACAGCCACTGTTAATTCTTCAGGCTGGTCGTGATACTCAATTCCCATTGATAAAGTGTTTATTAAAATCGCCAGCAAATTGCTTGCTGGAAATACTTGTGCTCCACCAGGAGTTTCACTTTGCGTCGGAAACAGGAACAACATTAGAACAAAATCTGTAGAAAAATTTTAAGACATAGTCAGGGTTTTATTTTTGTAGTGGGTAAGTTTTTTTATTACCTGTAGACTGCAATGAAGCACCTCAAAATTAAAGGTCTAGGTTGGTCAGTATTAGGTGATCCCTGAATCGTGGTTGTTTGAACATCACACAAACAAGGGTAGTTTTCATTTTGTAACTGATTTGTTGGCCCTAAATCCATATCGATTTGGTTGTGAGGGCCAAAACTTTGCTGGATGTTTGAGGACTCGTCTGGTTTTTGAACTCCCTGGATTTTTTTTTAAAAAAATCGGTTTAAGTAGCATTGTGCCACATAACAAGTTGCAAAATTCATTCAAAAATTTGACGATAAATTTTTGCAAGTCCATATTTCCAAAATTATTCCACCATTTGATGATTTTCTATGACCAAATAAGAAATACTATTTATTTTCATCAAAGTTGTCCGCCCTTAACATTTATTGAAATTTGAAAAAAAAGATACATTTAACTTTTTTTTACTTTCAAAACCTATTTATTCTCATCAAGCTCTGTTCACCCCCTGGAATCAATTTTCTTCTAATTTTAATCTGAACATAATTTCAGTTAAATTTTTTTTTGGTTTAAAATAATGCTTAAATGTCACTTTAAAACAACCCTAACACTTTTTTTAAATTTGAATTCAAAATTATATACAAATCTACATTTTCACTCTTCTTTCACAAATCTCTATTTCAATTTTCTGTCTTATCTCTATATTTATTTTAGTAATAGAATAATTTTTCACCACTCTTTTAGTCAGTGATTTATTTATTTTTTGATTTTTTATAACCAAACCTGTTTTCACAGGCCTCCAATATTTTAAACTATAAATGAATTTCCTTATATCATAAAATTATCATCAATATTTTTCACTTCCCATAGGGTAAGTTATAGTAATTGCAAAAAAATCGAAAATGAAATTTTTTTTTTCAAAACCTTCTGAACATTTTGGAAAACCTTAAAAAAACGGATACAAATTTTCGTCGACGATTTCGGGAACACGGATAAAGCGATTTGAATGATTAAAAAACCATTCAATTCCTATTAACGTGGTAATTAGTTTTTGGCAAAGGCAGGTTCAGTCATTCCGGAGATACGGCGCAAAAAGTGCCAAAAATAGAAATTGAATTTTTAAAACAAGTTTTTCAAAAAAGTCAACTTTCTTTCGAAAGTTTTAAAAATCTCAAAAATTGATTTTTTCAGAGTCCTAAAATAAAATTTAATCTTTTTTAAAAATTTTAATTACTGGTACTGGAAGTTCCAGCAATTTGCCTTAAGGCACGATGCCATGCATCACTAGTTTAGTTATCAATTACAATTAAACTACCCGGCTGATCTTTATAAAGGACGCTACTGACAATCAAATTTGACTTGAGAAAGTAACAGAAATTTGTTGACTTGAAAAAAAAGCAAGGAAAGAACTCTACTAGCGAGCGAAATAAATATCGATATGTTATAAAGAAATTTAATTCTATTGACAAACAAAATAAATACGGACTCGACATAATAAAAGAACTCTACTGACGAGCAAACTGAATCCCACATAGGATAAATAAAAGAGAATTCTACTGAAAAAAAATCGACAGAATAAAAAAAAGAACTCTACTGACAAACAAAATAAATATCGAACCTATGTGCTGAGAAGCAAAGTGGACAGATTGAAAAATTAAAGAAGTCGACTGGCGAACAAAATAAACTCTATTGACAAGCAAATTTTGCTTTCAAAAAAATATAAATAGAACTCTACTGACGAGCAAGTTCGACTTTATAAAAGAAGCAAATAGGACTCTACTGGCAAGCAAACTGAATCTCAGAGCCTTTGAATTAAACTCTACCGACAAATTGAAAGAAAAGGATCTCTACCGACGAGCAAAATTGATTTAGAAGGAACGTAAACGACTATACATTATAAAAAAGAAGATTTGTACTACGATGCAACTTTAAAATGTTTATTTATCTATGCCGATTTCCTTGTTAATATCGGTACGCACACAACGACACATCTCTATTCACGCGACACGATAACTAATCACAATCGACCCGTATAGAAATGATATCATCGAAAGCGAATGACTTTCACTTGACCTTGCCGTAACAATTTCCGTTGCATTTGTACGGATTTACACCCTAGTCGAACGAATGTTTGTTTGAAGTATCTTTTAATGATCTACCTTGCTCAAAGAATTGAAGAACGAGTCCAGAGCAATTTGTCCAGTCGGCAGAGCCGCACTCAGGGCCCCTGAAAGCGCCAATAATTCCTGACAAGTCATCGCAGCTTCACCCAAGTGCAAATCCGGGCACTCAACAATCGCAGACTGTTGCATTTGGGACGTCGTACTTTGCAGAGGCATTGGAACCTTAAAAACCAACCAAAAAATAAATTCTTGTACCAAAATGTAGACAACAATCATTTACCATTACTTAATCATTAATCATTCTTCACTTATTTATTTTTTTAAGAGTTATCTTCATAAGCGTAAACAGTTTGTTTATCTTAATGGATTCTTGAGCAACATTGAAAATATCAGTTCAGGTGTTCCTCAAGGATCCATTCTTGGTCCACTACTATTTATTATTTTTATTAATGACATTTCTGATATTATTAGCTGTCCACATTTATTCTTTGCAGATGATCTCAAACTATTAGGTTGTCAAATATCTCCCTTCCGCTTTTTTGCTCTTGGTTTATAATACAAAAAGGCGGAAGGGAGATATTTGACAACCTATTATATCTCAAAATAAATTCTATTGATGACTGCTTATTATTACAGTCTCAACTTGACTCTTTCCACTCTTGGTGTATCTATAACAAATTACATTTAAATATATCAAAGTGCAAGATTCTTAGTTTTTCACATAAGCGCGTTCCAATACTTTTTGATTATAAAATTTCTAACACCAGCATGGATAGATGTAATAAAATTTTAGATTTAGGAGTTCTATTTGATTCTGGTTGTTTTCCACGGATCATATAACTGATATTTGTAATAGAGCACATAAATCTTTAGGTTTGATACTGAGAAATTGTAAACAATTTAAATCTACCAATGCACTTCTTTGCATGTACTATTCTATTGTACGTTCAAAATTAAATTATTTGGTATCCTCATCAAATCAACAATTCTGATGGGGTAGAGAAGGTTCATGCCTTTATTATAAAACATATAAAATTTACCCTGAACGTGGCTTTGACCACAACACTTTACTAAAAGAATTTGGTATTCCTTCCCTTGCCTCACGTCGATTTATCTGTACAAATATGTTCTTATTTAAACTTTGCAATAATTCTATAGACTGTCCTCTTATTCTCAATCAACTATCCTTTATTGTTCCAAGGCTATCTACGCGTTCACAATTATTTTTCAATTATCCTACTCCTAAATCTAATTCTCTCTTAAATTCGCCTATTTTACTTATGTCCTCTAACTTTAACTTAATTAATAATGAAATAGATATTCACAACACTTCACCTAATCAAATAATCTCCATATGCACAAGTTAACCTTTTTATTTTCTTTTCAAATATCTCATTATTTTATCTTATTCTGTTTATAAATAATATTGTTACATTCTGCATTGTATGTAATTTTATGTTAAGCATTTTATGTTAATAACTATATATTGTAATTTTGTATATAAGGTTGTCAAATATCTCCCTTCCGCATTTTTTGCTCTTGGTTTATAATACAAAAAGGCGGAAGGGAGATATTTGACAACCTATTATATACAAAATACTAAATAAATGCACATATTTGAACCCACAACTTATGCATTTGACGTTCAATGCTTATTTTAAAGTATACCGAGTTGCTGTAGGTCATCATAATATTAAACAAAATTAAAAAGAAAGGAATTCTGAACATACTTCTCTAACATCTTATTAACACCAAACCAATACTTTGCAAACTACTTCCAAAAAACTACATAAATACATAAAATTGAACCCATATTTTGTGAATTTGACTTTCAATGCTTATTTTAAAGTATACCGAGTTGCAGTAGGTCATCATAATATTAAACAAAATTAAAAAGAATTGAATTCTGAACATACTTGTCTAACATCCTATTAATACCAAACAAATACTTTGCAATCTATTAGGTTGTCAAATATCTCCCTTCCGCCTTTTTGTATTATAAACCAAGAGCAAAAAAGCGGAAGGGAGATATTTGACAACCTAATATATTTTAATTGTTATTCGTTATGTAAAATAACTATATTTTTGAGTCCTCTTGGAGTAATCTGTGGGCTATATATTTAAATAAATAAATAAATTACCTGCCAGATGTCACCATCCCCCGTCTGCGTAGTTTTCTCACTCGAACAAACATTGGCAGACGAGCAACTGGCACCACCACCAACTCCCAAATTGGATACCAAGTTGACAGTAGACCCCAATTGACCAGTTGTCAAAGGGACAATGTTGACAGCCGATCCTAAAGGTACCAGGTTGAGTCCTGATCCCAAATTCGTGCTGATCGGAACCAGGTTCATAGAACTCGCCAAGTTGGGGTTCAGAGGGGCTGCTGAATGGTGGAGCAGAACCACATCGCTGAAGGCGACTGAGGAGGAACCCGATTTTCTTCTGCTGGATATGGAGGGCGGTGGTGAGAGCAGGCCGGAGACTGATTGGTTCTGAAAAAAAATAGAAGTTGAATTTATTTCTTCATATAAAATGTTAACTCATTTCATTATTGTACTGTCTATTTGTAGTCAAAAGTTCGTTTTGTTCGCCATGAAATTATATATGTAAACTAGCAAACCCGATGAACTCCGTTTCGCCACCAGATGGTTTCGTGAGAAAAATGACGAAATTTTTTGTTTGTTTTATATTTGAAGAGGAAAAATGTGATTTTATTATACAACAGTAACGAATTTATTTTGATTACAAAAATGAAGTGTTTTTTAGTTGAACTTCTCTGAGTAAATGAAAGTGAATCCGCAAATTATCCGTTCCCGCTCTTTGGTAAACCACATTTTTTGTTTTCTGGTCTGGCGTTAACACAAACAAAGCGGATGTTTTTCCAACTCGTGAACAGGCAACGCATAACTGCCCATGTGAAAAACAATGATTTTCTAAATAATCTATTTGAAATTTATCCCGCAAACACTAAGCGATTGGCCTTGCGACTTGTTATTGTGAACGCAAGGCGAACTGGAAATTGCAATCGTTTGAAGTCAAACGGAAGACCAGTCGGAATCATTGGTATGTCACCAAATCGCCAGCAATTTTTGATTTAATGGTGAAATTCAGTGCGTGCACATTATTATTCTTTGCGGCAAGAATGGCTCGTTGACTTAACCAAGCATAATTCTGATAATTCTCACTAATGTCATTACTCGAATTTTTAATTACGGTGCGTGAAGTTCCAGTAGCTTGCATTAAGGCACGATGCCATGCACAATTAATTTTCTTAGCTATAAACCTTGCGGAGCCCGAGACCTTTTCAACGAATGCAAAATTGTCGAAATCGTCAGGAAGGAAAACCCGACTTATTTTTATATATATAGAAGATAACAAATTATTGATTATAATAATGGTTTTAGAAAAGTCAAGTTAGCATAGAAACAAAACGAGCCTGTGGGCTCAACATTGATGATGATGTAAATAGAAAAATATCCATAACTGACCTTATAACTAAAAGACAAGTGTGTATATAATTAATTATTAAGCCAATTTGTTCGAGTCAAATTCTTGTAATATAACATTATTGGCTGAATTCATATAACTTTAATTTTCAGCATGGATTAGCCAAAGCTGGAAACCTTAAAAAAAGTTGGAAAATGTGGCACTTTAGACGATTTTGAAAAATTTTCTTAGCGAGTATCAAATTTGGTCAAAACGTAGTGAAATAAGACAAAATTATCTAAATCTTGATATATACTTAAAATTAGGGTTTATACAAAAACCGACATTTCAAAAAACCGGTTTTCGAATTGTAATTTTACTAAAAAAACGGTTTTAACCGGTTTTTGAATTTTATATAGAAAGTAAAATTTTTGCTCGAATATCCTGTAATTCATCTGCAAATTTAGTGTTTGACTGAATTAATATTATTTTTATTTTATTTAGTAGAACTAAAAAATAATAGTTTATCTTGATAAAATAACTTTGAAAATAATTATTCGTTATTCATGCATCATTTTCAAATATAAGAATGAAAATATTTTTATGATAGTAGAAGGAATTTTTTCGAATATATAAAAATAATACATTTTTAAATAAAAAAAAATCATTAAATTGGAATAAAATAAAAAAATATTAAATACATGTTGTTATATACTTTTTAATATCAATTAAGCTAAACTCTGTTATTGTCTGTTCTGAGCAATTTTAAACATTCTAATTATTTTTTTTTTGTGGCACTTTAGAAAACTTTTTGAAAAATTTTCTTAGCGAGTATCAAATTTGGTCAAAACGTAGTAAAATAAGACAAAATTATCTTAATTTTGTTATACTTAGATATATTTAGGTTCATACAAAATTTTATAGAAATTCAACTCTAAAATTTAAGACTCCAATCGTACTTCATACCCAACAGAAATCTTTGCAAAGACCTGGTACAAACTTGAGACAATTTTGGAAAATTTTGTTAGAACGCATGACATTTTTATTAAGTATTTTTAAATTAGATAAAATTCCATAAATTTTGCCATACCTGTATTTATATTTCTCCATATGATATTTTATAGAAATTTAAACATTTAAACATAAACATTTAATAATTTAAACATTTAAGTCTTGATATACACGTACTTAGATTAGAATAATATGTGTTCATGCAAATTTTCATAGAAATCACATCAAAAATTTTATTTATAAAAACTTTACTCTAAAATTTAATATTCTATTTCTAGTTTAAACCTAAAAGGAATGTTTGCAAAGACTTGGTACAAATTTGAAAACGAAATTTAAAAAAAAGTTGGAAAAAGTGGCACTAACAGGACCTGAAGAATTCTTACTTCAAAAATTATTCAATGAATGGTTTTTATTTCATTTTCAATAAAATGCAGTCCGTGAATTTTTCACCCTATAAAATCCAATCGTAAAATTTCCATTTCCATGTCGAGTGCATCATATAAATCGTACCAATTATAATGCCGGATATATATCCTATGATATGACTAGAATAAGATTATTATCCTTGTTAAATGATCCGTTACATATTAAATACGACTTTCAATAATAGTTTGGAGTTATGGCACGAATTCTATAATGCTCAAACTATTAAATTACATGGAAATACTTTGCCTTGTGCCTACTGGCAGATGGAAAGTGTGAAAAGTTAATTTTTGGGAAAAAGTGTTTTATTTTATATTGGTTTTAATTTTATATAATTATTATTGTTATTAATTAGTTAACTAAAAACTTATAATTTAAAAACACTTAAAAAATTCTGAAACAAAATATTTCTTTCATCAAAATACCTAAAAATTTGTAAAAAAATACTAATATTGTCAAAATACTTTAATAATAATGATAATGATAATAATAATAATAATAATATTAGGATAAAACACTTAAATTTGTTAAAGTATCATAAAATAACCTAAAATTTGTCAAGTAAAATAATTATTTTGTAAAATCATTGTAAAACTTATTAAAATACTTATTGAATTTGTAAAGAAATACTTGCAACAAACAAACTAGTTATATTTAAAAATAATTAAAATTAACTAAATATAAATAAGTTTATAGTAAATAAATTAAATAATAAATAAAAAAAATTAAGTAAAATTAACTAAATATAAATAAGTTTATAGTAAATAAACTAAATAATAAATAAATGAGTAATAAAATAGCTAATAGTTAATTAAATTATATTAAATCTGCAAAATATTGACTTGAGCCTTATTATAATATTATTATACCGACGGCTTGTAAAATAAATAAATATATATAAAATTTCCATTTACCGATTATTATAAAAATCTAAAAATTAGTAACAATCTATTTTTCATGTCTCTACTCTAAGAAGTAAGGGCTGTAACACACTTTTTTTGGACAAAATTTTTTGTTTTTATTTTTTATAATGTGGCATAGAAAAATACATACAACCCTGCATTTTTACTTTTTCATCACCAACCCCTATTTATCATAGCCATTTTAGTAATTTAATCATTGTTTATCCCGCGTTCATTCATTTAATATTTTTGACATAATTTTAGTACAGATTTTTGAGCTTAAAGAAAAAAGTTTAAACTTTACTTTATAATATAATTTATTATTATTAAGGATAGTCCAATCCCAATTCTTTTTTTATTTTGGGGTCAATATTTTTATTTAATTATTTTAATACGAAATCAACAAAACACATAGATCTTTTTTAGTTCAAATTACTATTTATTTTTATCAACTAAAGCAGTACTTGCGTTTTAGACATTTGTTTATTATTTACTTTATAAGTTTTATTTATCTATTAGCAAAAAATATTTATCTAAAATAAGAAATATTTATCTAAAATATATAGAATATTCAGGAAATTTATTTGAAATAAAATTATCTATATTATTTTCTAACTTATATACTAGGTATACTTTAAATTTGATTTCAAAGTAGAAAGTTAGTACTACAACTTCATTTTAGTGACTTTGTTATTTTTTTATTGTTATCTAGGATGAATAAAATATTTGTCAAGTTTTTTTTTAAATTAAACCAACAATAATATTTCGTAACATCATAAAACTCTACAGCAACTCGATATACTCTAAAAGTTACAAGAAAAATTATAAACAAATGCAAAAGTGACTAATATGCAAGTTGACTCTGATTAAAATTCTTTGTTTTCAAATGCAATTTTAAACTACTTGACCATCCCTAACATTTATTTAAATTTTAGGACCAACTTTTTTATTTTAATTTTTCATAAATTGAAATTTGAAAAAAAGACATATAATTTTTTTACTTGCACACTTTATAATTATTTTCATCAAGCTCTGTTCACTCCTTTTTTTAAATGTTGGAATCAATTTTCTTCTAATTTTAATTTGCACATAATTTCAGTTAAGATTTTTTTTGGTTTACAAAAATGCTTAAATGTTACTTTAAGAAGCAATTTGGTTTTGTTAGGGGTTGTTCAACCCTAACACTTTTTTTTTAAATTTGAATTAAAAACATATATATATATATATATATATATATATATATATATGTTTCATCTACTTCATTTAGATATCGTGTCGTTTAGTATTATCGACATGTGTTGTATTGTGTATTGTATTGTATATTGTATTGTATTGAACTAGGGGTAGTAGGAATTGTGCATTTGACGATGCGGACCGACAATCGAATTATCAGTCATTTGAATAATGGACGAAGTTTGAATACGAAACGACGACATGATCTCCTCTATATATTCCAGAGGACGAGGACGAGAAATGATTGACAGGACACAAACACGAACGAACGGTCATAAAACGTAAATTTTTACTTTAAAAACACAATTTAATTTTGTCAAGGGTTTGCCACCTTTTTGCCTTTAGTTTGTATTACTATCTCAGAAAAATATATGCTACCCTCAATTTTCACCACACTTCCCTATTTTAGTATTTCAATCATTTTTCACACTAAATAACACCACTAATTTTTGTACTAAAATAAATTAACTAGTTGTAATAAAAATGTTTTTTTTTTA